AAAAATAAATAAATAAAATAAAATAAAATAAAATAAAATAAAATAAAATAAAATAAAATAAAATAAAATAAAATAAAATAAATCACCATCCATACCACTAGTGAGGACCAGGCTTTTGGCTCCATGAGGGGCATTGGGTCCCCAAAAGTCTGTGTTTTTCTGGAAAATGGTCCCCATGATGTGGTAAAAACGTGTACAACACACACACACAAGTGCACACAGACAGTCGAGTGTTGGAGGACAGTCAATGCATCACATGTACCAACTGTTCATTCCTAAAACCCTAAAATCACACTCGCCAATGTCACCAAAAAGAACACTGTGCAGATTTGTTCGTTCGTTCATTCATTCATCCCAAACGTTTGATGAATTGCTGGTTTTACAGCTTTACCTGTAGGCAGGAATGATCTGTTTGAGGTCTTCCTGGTACTGATTCAGCACTGCTCTTGCAGATAAGGGCTCTGCCTTGTCCTCCAGACAAGCCAGGTGGACCAACATCTGGGTGTGAAACACAGCTGCACAGGCCCAGTGTCTCAGAGACCTGAGAGAGCACAGAGGGGGGAAAATAAAGCACTCAAAACCAAAGCAGTGCGTGGAGCGAAGATGCTGCCATTTCACCAAGTCAAACACTCCGTCCACGCCACTCTGTTTACAGAATCTACTTCAAATGTCGTTTCTCACCTGGAGTCACAGTGTGCCCCCAGCAGACAGGTCTTCAGCTGTGTCAGGATCAGGCTGAACTGGGCCTCAAGTCTGACGGAGTCCTGGATTAACCTGCTTTTATCACTTAGGTTGATTCTGCAGCGCTTTAGGTATTCATCCATCACCTCCTGCAGCTCGCAGATTCTTTGCTAAAAGAAAGAAATCAGACATGTGCAGCATATTGCATTTGATATAGAACAGTTAGAATCACATTGTTTTTTTGTTTTTTTTGTCATATCAGAACATTTAAGCTCTTTTTCATTCAAAAACTGGAGCATTTCCTTTCCATCTATGATTCTCTACTTAGCTGTAGTTTTGATTTCATCTCTGTTTGTTTCCTAATGCTTTCCCATCTATAAATCTTAAACTGTAGTGGTATGCAAGCTCTCTCTGGTGGTATATAGAGGAAATTTTATTTTTATTCATTTTACAAGCTTGAACACAAGCTCAAGTCTTTTGCATCATCTGCAAACATTGAATTAAATTATACAAAGCTTTAATCTTAGTCCTAAAACAGCTCCTAGTAGTAAGGGTAAGTTTGATTCACAAAATATCCAAACTTATTATATTCTGTTTACACTTCAAGAAGCACTCTTTGCTTCCTCACATTTCCCTCGTTAGCGAGTCGCTACCTGACATGACGACGACCCGGCCGCCCTCCCTTCCTCTCCTGATGATTGTTTTGACGATGCATAGGCCATATCCACCACCATGGTGATCACTAATCCCACCAGGCCGGTCAGGCTCGGCTCATCCGAGAAGGCCGACAGTCGGCTGACCAGATCCTTCAGGTAGGCGGGCACCCGGTTTCCGATTTCACTCTGCAGCTGAGAAACAAACAAGAGGGTTTGTTTAGGTCACACTGAAATGACTGCAGAAGTTTAAAAAAATGTTTGCAATCATCAATTTCACTGATGTAAAATAAGTGTTTTCTGTTTTTTTCTTTTAACAACAAACGTTAAGTGTTTTTGTCTTCATATTGGTCCCCGGCTTTCTATTGCATTGATTTCTGACCTCTTTACAATTCCCAGCAGAGCTTTTTTTTTTCTCTTGAAGTGGTGCTTCATTTTGTACAGTCCCTCCTTCTTAACTGATTCAAGGCAACAGCATCTTCCCACTCCTCCTGTTAAACCTGCGACTGCAGTTCAGTGGATTTAAAGTGATCAATGAGGAGTTTTCTCCACTCTGTGTATTTCACAAGCAGTACACCATCATGTTGTATTTTGCTTCTGTGCTTAGACGACACAAAATCTTGGATGATCTCAAAATTCGTTCTCTTCAATTCTGAGAAAAAGGTTATTGTTTTAGCCTTTAAATCATTGGAAAGGAACTTTGGCATCATTTTTGATCAAGACCTCTCTTTTGACTCAGCGAATATAGAAATCTCAAAATCAGCTTTTTTTATCATCCTCAAAAATATCTCTAAAATCAGGAGGTTCTAATCCCAAAGTGATGCTGAGAAACTGATAATCAGGAAGTTCAGGATTCATTTTAAGAACCCTCACATTACATACAAAGCATCGTCTTAATTAAAAGATTCCCTTATCTCTCGTCATTAACATCTCTGCTCTCAGTGTTCAGATTTACTTGTTGTTCCGAGTCTCTGAAACAAAGACAGGGAGGCAAAACTTTTCATTGCAATGTGCTCTGCTCTGGAATCAACTTTGTCTTTGTGTGTGAGGCTGACTCACTCTTTGTTCTCTAAAATAACATCTTACCTCTCTGAATAAGCTTACACTTAAACTGATTTTGCATTTCCCTGCCTGTGTTGTCCATTTTAAAAGGTACTCACTGAAAACTAGGAAGTGAAAGTTAATAACACGTCAAGGGTTTATTGTTAAGGAGTTTTGAGTTTTGCTCAACAACTTTTTCCAATTAAGATTACATTAAAGATTAATGTGAGAAAAAAATACTCATTTTTGTTTTTTTAGACTGAACATACCTTTGCAAAGAGTACCTTTAGCATGCTTATTATTTATTGTGTTTATATTTATTTTAAATCTGACAACTTCATTTTTTGTTATTTTTTATTGCTCTTCTCTGCTAAGCACTGTTGGTTTTCACTTGTGTTTGTGGAAAAAAAAAGTGTTGCATTATAAAAAAGGTAACCTGTTGCAGGTGTGAAACATTATGGTCTGATTTGTTTGACTGGTTATTTCCCAAAGTTCCCAGTCTCCAAATGTTCTCTGAAAACAATATAATTTATGGACTTATTATGGACAATAACAACAGTGACTTTCTCATCAACACTATTATCATTCTGGGGAAATTTTTCATCCATAAAGCTAAATATCTTAAGGTTAAACCAAATTTCTATCATTTTCACAATGACTTTATTTTGAACTGCAATTCTCTTAAAGTGATGCATACTAAACATGCCCACAATCTGTGCTTTTTAATTGAAGAGTATGATTTAACATCTTTATTTTTTGTTGTTCCTTCTTATTTTTAAACTTCTTATCTTTATTTGCACCCATCTTTTTCTCTTATATGCAAATTTGTTTGTTTGTTTGAAATACGCCTGATTGTTTGTACATTGTATTATTTTGTGTGTCCTTTATTGTTTAATAAAAAATAAAAAACCTGTTGCAGGTGTTCCTGTAGGCGGGTCTGAGAGTCAGCGTTGTCGTTCTGATTGGTTAGTAGGAGAGGATGAACCACCCTGAGGTCAGGCACAGCATCTCCTTCTAACATGGCATCATAGATGACAGAACCAAGGGCCTCCTTCAGCTGAGGAAGCTGTTCTTCTGATGACAGCAGCTGGCCCATGATGGTGCAAATTTTATTTATTTATTTTTCTCTGTAGATACACCTACAGACAAAAAACATTGAAAAGGAGATCAAGGATTAAGAATCATACATAATAATTGGGTGAAAACTTAAAAAGAAAAAAAAAACAAGTGCAGCATTTCCATTTAATTTAATTAATTTCTACCACAACATTCACTAAATGATTTTTAAAAAAGATTTCCTTCTGACAACTGCAGCGGTTCAACCAACTCTTTTGGAAAACAAACCTTCTCCTCTTTATTTATTTATTGAAACTTTTAACGTGATACAAAATATATCAATACAGCCAGGGGGAATGAACATCTATCTGTAAGTGAAAAAGAAAAAAAGGAGGAAAGATATATATGTGCATAAGTGTGATAGTAAAAATAGAAATAAGCTTAAACAATTGATGAAATGATTAAATCACAAACAAGAACCAATCAAAATAAAAATAAATCAGGAATTCCAAAAAGTGAACAAGAATCTGTAACCTTCTCCTCTGTTTTCTCACTTCCCCCGTTTCCCTTCTTCTGAAGTAACGACTTCCAACAAGACAACACAGCAGCTCAATAAAGCGCAGCAGCAAAACTACACCGCCTCCTGGTGGTTATGATTTGGAACTGCAGGTAGACAAAACATTGGATTATGATAAATACCAGAGTTAGAGGTCTGTTCTGTTGGTGTCCTGTAAATGAATACCCCTAAGAGTTACTGTTTTGCCCTCATTATTAGAAGATGTATCATAATAAAAAAGAAGGTCATTGGGAATAAAAGCAAAAGCTGTTTTACGGCTATCTTGAACAATGGAAAATTTAGGCCAAGGGCTTCCAGAGTTTTTATTTAGCTAATGGGAACAACGGCCATGATGTTGATGTTTTTTATGTGATAAAATATGGGCTGAGGGGATTTGGGATTTTGTCAGAGATGTTCCTTTTTCTTTAACTAGGACAAGGACTTGTGTGCTATCAGGCCAGTAGTTTTGTAAGGAAATCAGCTGTAGTTACTTTACATCTGTTTCAATCTCACCATGCTTGTAATTTCTGCACCATCTCTGCAGTTGTGGGATGTCATTTAGCACTGTTAACACAAGCTATTTTAAGTGTAAAGACCTCAAATGAAGTGGCAGTCACACCTGTCAGACGCCATTAGACTTTACCATGCAGGGCTGCAGAACAGCAGATGGTGAAAGGACTTAAAGGTCGTGTTTAAAAAGGCCAAACGTGCGGGGCTGATTAAGTGACAGAGGTGTTTGTGCAAAACGGCGTTTGAATTCAGATTAGCACTCACTAAGGGGAAAAATAAAAAGCAGTTTCCCACACAGATTGTGACACTGATGTCAAAAAGTTTTGCAAATGTCCTCATGTTCAGCTGGTGATGTAGAAACATTTTCTGTTCTGTATAAAAGCAGGATTTAGTTTATTTTACATTTTAGTTCTATATGAATGCATGCAAAACCAGTTTCTAATATACAATGAAAATTATTAATTATTTGGAATAATATTTAAGTACTAAAATGAGGTATAAAAACATAGGTTGCTTGGGTACTTTTTGGAGCATGGGGTTTTACCAAACTTGAAATGCAAAGTCTTTTAGTAGTTACTGTAATAAATACTTTAATGTATCGCACTTTTGTAATCTCTCATCATCATCTTTTGCAGCATTTTTATTTTAATAGGTATTTATTGATTCCCCAATTTACTAAATTATTAAATCCAATCACCAACAAACGTTAGCGTTGGGTTATGAAGCTCACGCAGAACATCATCGACTCAAGTGTCATGCAATCAGCGACACTACCGCTGCAGAACTTTTAACGCGCCATGATTGACCCTGGAGGTCAAGATGAAAGTTAAATAAACTGGGATGAACACGGATTACCCTCTTAAGAGTCTATTTGTTTTGTCTGGCCTCAAACCGTAGATGATATTGCTCATTTGCTCTCGTTGATTCAGATGGTTTCTGCAGAGATTCCTTGGTTTGGCCATGTTGCTCGGGAAATGTGCCCCTCTCTGTCTTTCCAAGGATGTTTGACCCTGATGACATAAATCTCCAAACATGCTCAAAGTCAAGCGTCAGCAACTTGCAAACAGGCATAAATGTATGCATGACCAAATGTGCCATCATGCACCTTTGCATTTTGTCCCCTAAAGTTTTCATTACCATAACTCTGCAACATTTTAAATCTTTGGACTGCTCAGCCAGTGAAGCTCCACACATGCGTCAGAGAAATGCACTCAGTTGTGACTCAAAGCTGCTATTTTTGTGTCATCAATGTCACTTACACATGCATGTATGCTCTTATTTATCATTTTGGTCATAACTTTGGCTTTTTCCTTATTTCTGGCCTCCACCTCATGCATTCTTCATCCCTACCCTTCCTCTATTTGTTACCCCGTACCTCCCCTCCAGCCATCTACAGACCGTGGAGGAGAATAAAAACAAGCCTAATGTACAGTAATAAATCTTAGTTTGACCGATGTGCCTGGTGGCATCAATTTTGTGAAGCTGCTGTGTTCACTTATCAGCCGAAGAGCTCATTATTGCAAATGACAGCTGTTGGGGGAAAAAARAAAAAAAAAAAGAATTTCTCTTTTCTACATGGATGTCTAACAGCGTGCACTGATTAACGTCAGGATAAATTTAAGCATTAATTCTGGTTTGTTAGGGAAAGGACTCATAAATTCAACTTGCAATCTAATCATCATCCATCTTATGTACTAATAAAGCTCAAGTCCTGACCATGAGACAGTGGGTGGTAATTAAGTAACCAACAAGTATTTTTCTCTATAGAAAACCTGGAATTCAAAAAGATCATTGTAAAACTTTTTTATAGTACAGCAGATGAGCAAAGTCTTGTTTCAGAAACTCTTAGTTAATTGTCAAATTACAAGCACTTCTAATCGTATCTTTAAAGTCAGTGTGGTGAAGCATGATGGAAAAACGAGTGATCATCATCTCTAAACCAAACCAAGCATTCTGTGTAAAAGAATAAAAACATATTGCCCGCTGCCCTTTATGCCAGTGTGACTTATTTTAAACCTTTTTTTGTGTTTGTTTATGTCACATTCACTTATAATTCCTCACATTACTATGTTCTGTCTGGCAGGTTGCACCACGCTGTCAACGTTTCAGAGATCTTTACAGCAGAACGAGCAAAGTGCTGCTCATCCACTAAAGAAAAAGGGATTAAATATGTTTGAGGTCGTTAAAGTGCCACAAAGAAAGGAGGGAGGCTGAAGAGAAAATGTGTCACAAGGCAGGGGGAGAGATAGAGATAAGAAAGCAATCAGGGGTGAGTGTCAAAGTATATTAGGGAGGAGGATGTCTGCTTCAAATATCACATGAAAGAGCAGAATTAGGACAAAGCTCTGAATTCTTCTGCAGGTTTAAGGAAACACCTGCGCAGAGCCGTCTCCGGTTTGCTGCAGTAAAGTGCACAATGCCTCAGTCCAAACCAAAGCAGCAAGAAATATAAGTTGTGCATAAATGCCTAACGTGTGCAAGTTTAATTTTTTTTAAATTAGGAAATTGAAAAATACAACAAATCTTGTCAAAACATTTTAATCACCTGTCAAATGTTGAAGACATACCCATTTGTCACCACAACAGATAGTGTGAAGGTGTAAAGAATTAGATTGGTGTGGATATTAGATCTCTGACTTGCCTCCCATACATGTCGTATCAGAGCCCATCAGGGCTGCAGATTAGGGGGAGTTTGGAGTTCCAATGAAATAATTTATCATTGATGCAAAAATGTGTATTATGAGTTCACTTTCTAAAAGGAACAACAAGCACTTGTCTTCACTTGTCTAGCCTGTTGAAATAAATTGTTAAGGCTGATAAGAGAATCTCTTGCTTGTTTTCACGCTTGTTTTGTCAAGTGAATTTTGTTTCTGTGAAAGGGCGCCCCCTGCTGATCAACACGATTTTACAATGTTGATCATAGCCTATTTCCGTTTCCGGTGTAAACATGCGACTTGCACTTTGAAGTTGAAGCGGTGTAGCAACATGCGCTGATAAGAAAATATATTTATTTATAATTTTTATTGCAGTAATGTCTGAGACGAGAGGAGAAGGGAGTGTTGTTCGCTATTACTGCACTTCCGGTAGCGGAATGGAACTGTTTTTAGTTGACGAAGTGAAAAGAAAGTTGGCGGCTGATGCTGTGAGTATTTTAGCATAACATGTCAACAAAGTTGACATGGTATGTTACAAAGCTTGTTAAGAAGCTTTTATTCGTTTTTTAATAGACAGTGCTTTTATTATTAAGCATGTTACAAAGCTTTGATTAAAATACTTCCAGAGGTAGAAGCTGAACTAAAGGAGACAGCAGAAATTGCAGAAAGATGTGTAGAAGTCATTCACTTCATGTAATTTCTCATTATCATGTTGCTAGTAAAAAAAACATGCAAGCAACTGTTAATCATAATCCTTAAAACCCACAACTTTAATTTAGCCCTTTGGTATATTTCATGCCAGCTCATCTAACGCTGCTGTGTTTCTCCTGGATATTCTGCAGTTCATAAAACTCAAAGTTGAAATTATATGATGATTAGATGAGTGAACTTTTTCAGGATATTAAGAAATTTTTGTGTTATACAAACATGGTTTCATTAAGCTTAATTTAGTTTAGTTATTTAGATGATTAGATGAGTGAACTTTTTCAGGATATTAAGAAATTTTTGTGTTATACAAACATGGTTTCATTAAGCTTAATTTAGTTTAGTTATTTAGTTTAGTTATTTCATTCATAAAATTATTTAGTTTAGTTATTTCATTCATAAAACAAAAGAGTCTAAAAGTCTATATAAACTTAAGTTGATTTGATAATTATGACCCAACAATGCAGACTGAAACACCAGAATAAAATGTACAAAAAAAGATGCTTTTAAATCAAAACCAAAAAAAAGCTGATGTAGCGAATATAAGAAAAGGAAACATAAAACCACAACAAGCGGGGAACAGACAAACAAGAACACATGAAGGCAGCAAATTGAAGGTGGAATTAAAACCAGATTAAACTGGAGACAAGAGGTGACAGTAGGGTTGGGCATAATCGTATCGTGTGTAATTAATCGTCAGAAAAACATTAATCGATTATTTTTTTGCACTTGACGATTAATACGATTAAAGCCACCTGGCAGACTGACTGGATATTTCTCCGGTCAGTCCGCTCGGTACTCCTCTCCGCTTCAAAAATTACAAACGTTTAAACAAAAGTTCTGTAATTTATTTATCAACACAATTTAAAATTGGAAGTATAGCCTGAAGTCTGTGATTTTGACACAATTTGACAGATTTTTACGAAGAGCAAATCTTTCCCACTAAATTGGTCATGTGACTAGGACATAAGGGTGTCCAAGGACTCAGGGGGATTAATCGTCAAATTAATCGTTATCGGCTAAATACCACAATTAATCGTGATTAATTTTTTTTGCCAATATTGCCCAACCCTAGGTGACAGACATTTATGAAGCAGGGTGAACTTGTATTCATGAGAAATTCAACTCTAAATCCTTCACTATCAAAGATGGACCAAAACAAAACATAAAAAAAAAACAAATCTAAAAGTCAAGTTTTGACTTAAAAAAGACACATTTACATGTCCTAAGATAAAACCTTATTTACTCTTAAGTGCTTATGCTGGTGCATGCTTAAACTTTGTTTTATAAAACATTGCAGTTTGAATGTGTGTGTGTGTGTGTGTGTGTGTGTGTGTGTGTGTGTGTGTGTGTGTGTGTG